GTCCCACAGAGTTGGGTTCATCCCGGTTTTCATCCCCACCCAGTCTGAGGTCAGAACCTCACTCCTGGAACAGTTGTTGTTCCTCCTCCCCTTCCACCTCCCCCCAGGCCCCGGTCAGTCTTGGCGCCTGGGCCAGACGGAACCGGAGACAAGGTTTCAGCTTCCACCTGCCCGAAAACAGGGGTCTCTGTTGGGGTCTCTGTGACCTCTGCTCTCCCCTCTTGGGTGACCAGCCCAGGCCTGCTCTCTGGCTCCCAGGTCACTCATCTGAAACAAAACTGGACTTCCTCTCTCCCCTTCCTCCCTCCCCCTCCTCCATACCTGTCCGAGGGGCCTCCCAGGAACCCTGTGGGTCCTTAGTTTGCCAAACCCCAGCTCACAGACCTAGGAGAGGCCTGGGTTCGAATCCTGGCCCCGTGCCTGGCAGCTGTCTGCCCAGGGGCATCACCCACTCTTCATCTTGAGGAGACATGCCTTCAAGTCCCTGGCACATGGGGGGCTCAGGAAAGGCTCGAGGATGGCCTTCTGAGACCCTCACACGGGCAGGCCCCTTGGCGGGCAGGGGGCTTCCCCCAGATGGAGGCCAAGCCCTCCCACTCCCACCCAGGCCCTGCAGACTCTCCCAGCAGCCACTCAGCTTATCCCGTGACACTTCTACTTGCTGGGTCAGCAGGCAGACAGCCCGAACCTTCCCAAGTTCTCTCTGTGGGCTCCAGCCGGAGCCCTCTTGCCAGAATCCTCTTTCACTTCGTGATTTTGGGGTCAATGACACCTCAGGACTTCTGTCATTCAGGCTTTTCTCGGAAGCAAATCGGGGCTCTGGCTCCATCCTGAGTCTTGGGCAAGACAGAAAGTTATGATGGGAGAAGGTAGGTGCCGGGCGGGCAGGGGGAGTCAGGGGAAGCCCAGGCAAGGCACAGACTGCTTTTCCCAGACCTGTGATTGCTTTGAGCTGGAGGGCCAGTGAGGATCACAAAGTCTCCTGTGTGGCCACAGGGAAGAGCAGAGTGGTCTTCTGTCAGCCCCTTAACTTCCCAGCTGTGCGACCCTGGGCCAGTCACCCCAGCTGGAAACTGGGGACCACGGAAGGTGCAAACCCATGCATCCCGCTCCCCGTGTGCCAGGCTTCGCTGGTAGACTCCTCTCGGCAATGACACGAGGAGGCGAGTGTGTTTGTGGTACACGAATCCCGGGCCGCAAGAGGCGTAGGGAGGTGACCTGGATGGTGTCTGGCGAAGGGCAAGCCCTCAGGAGGACCTGGCTCTCATCATTACACGGCAATGTGAGTTTCAAAGAGCCAGTCTGTTTAGCCAAACCCCTGGGAGCAGGTGGAGTCAGGCAATGATTGCTGAGCAGCTCCTGTGTTCCAGGCCTGGAAATGCAACACAGGCCTGGACCTCAGAGATTCCGGCAGAGGCCTCCACTTCCCTTTTGCTGCCTTACTGGAGCCAGGCAGTCTGGCTGGGGCAGAGGAAGGTCTGAGTGGGGTGGGTGGTGGGGCCTGGCTGTTCGGCGTGCCTGTATCAGGGTCATTTGGTCTCCAGGCTCATCTGAGTGCATCCACAGGTTGTTTGTGTCCACGTGATGGTGCAAATCGCCTCCACCGACAGACCTCTGGACCTGGCATTGCAGTGTTACTGCTGAGAGCCTGGGTCACAAGCTTAGCTCTCCCTCACCAGCTGGGTGACCCTGGACATGTCTCCTAACTTCTCTGGGCTGGCTGTGGTTCATCCCTTGTAAAGTGGGGATAAAGCCACTTTACAGGTGATGTGCATTTTTAAGCTGTGCCTGGCATCTAGTCAGCTCTGCCCCATTGTCCTTTGGGGGTACTGAGAGCTCCCACTTTGGGCAGGTGGGGGGTGGGAGCGGGGCAGGGAGTGACAGATGGTAGAGACTGAAAGGGCTGGGACGGCAAGCTTGGGTCTTGTCCAGGGTGCTGGCTTGGGGGTGGGTGGGATGAGTGGGGGTTAAGCCCCACCTGAGGGAGTCAGAAAGTTTCCCCCGAGGGGCCAAGCAGGCCACGGGAGTTGTGCTCTCTGAGTGCGGCGAGCAGATGCCTGTGTAGATGGTGATCACAGGTAAGGGAGACCCTGAGAAGCTGGGGTGAGGCTCCAATGCACAGGTAGCCATGGGGAGGGGGGTGTTGATTGCATGGAACGTCAGCTGCTGGAATGCAATGAGTGTGTGCAGCTCTGAACACCAAGGACAGCGGGGTGGGGGAGGTGGGAGGGGTGAGGAGCAGAATGAGACCCTCGGGCTCAGACCCGGCTCAGCTCGGCCGGGACCAGCATCTCTCGAGGTGCGGCAGGGGGCGCTCCGGGCCTGCCCAGTCCAAAGAACCTCCCCCCTCGCTGGGACGTCAGGGAAGAGGGCACAGCTTCCAGAAGTCTCAGAACTGGCAGGGAGCTCTGAAGGTGGGCCATGCCCATTCTGTGCATGGGACTGTCTTACTGGCCTTCGTGATGGCTAGTTTTCTGAGCCTCGTCTACCTGCCAGCCTGAGTGCTCCCCACCTCTCAGAGCAGCCAGTGCCATCTGTGGCTAGTCCCAGCTGTTCCAAAGCCCCTGCTTACACAGAGCGGACATCTGGCCTCTCAGACGTCCTCCCCTGACCCCGCTGGCCCCAAGTCTGCGCTTCAGGGGCTCCTCAGACCCAGCCTGTTCCCCGGGCCTGCAGCAGCCCCTCTGGGCAGTAACTATCCTCATATCTGGGTCCCTTACTTAATAAGCATCGTCTCAGCCACGCTGGTGGCTCAGATGGTAAAGAATCCATCTCCAATGCAGGCGACCAGGGTGTGATCACAGGGTCAGGAAGATCCCCCGGAGAAGGGAATGGCTATCCACTCCAGTATTCTTGCCTGGAGAATCCCATGGACAGTGGAGCCTGGGGGGCTACATTCCATAGGGTTGCAAAGAGTTGGACAGGACTGAGCCACCTTTATTGAACCCCAGTTCAATGGCCAGAGAGCTCATTTAATCCTTACAACCTGGCACGTGGCCCTGGGCCTGGCACACACGGCACTCACTTTATCTTTGGATGATGAATGAATGAGTGACCACGTGGTCATGTTTTCCACATTACAGTTGGGAAACTGAGGCTCAGAGGGATAAACTCACTCATCTAGAGTAACCCAGCTCACATCTGACAGAACGGAGGTCTGAACCCAGGCATTTGCCCAGCTGAGTCAGAGCTCTTTAACTCCAAGTGGTGCTGCCTCAACTGGAACCAGTTCCCCGCCTCCTGGGCCCCATCAGCCCCTCACCAGCCATCTTCCCAAGAGGCCCATGGGTCAGAGTTCCTAAAGTTTTGGCAATGGGGTTCCCAGAGGCTGGGAGCTCAGAATTCCCAGGGATTTTTGAACCTCAGAGTGTTGAAGTTGCCTTGCCTGCCTCTCCAGATCTCTGCCCAAGGGCATCTGGATGAGGCTCTCGTGAGCTCCCTTGCAGGGAACGCCTAATGAAGCACCACCTGATGCTGAGCTGACCTTTGTCCTTTGACCCTCCTCTCAAGCCCCTGGAAGGACCAGTCCTGATTCATCCCACACCCCAAACTACGCCTGGTGCCAGGGTCTGCTCCTCGGGTCCACACCCGGCACTCCCCTCCTGGCTCCATCAGTCCTGGTTTCAGTTTCCTGTTCCTCAGGGGGAACTGTCCCAGTTTCAGCTCAATGATTTCCCCTTTGCTGACGGCAGGCCCTGCACTGGGTCTGGGGAAAGGGGGGCTGGGGGCGGAGACTTTCAGCCGGCCAGTGCCGGCAAATAATCTTCTCCCTCTAGGCCTGTTTCCCATCTAGGAAGTGGAGATATTGACAGCTCCTACCTTATGGGGTCACTCATGTAAAGTACTTTGCATGGATCAGGGGCTTAGTAAATATCTATACCCTTCTTCCTCCAAAACAGGTGGATGGGAGTGAGTGGGAAACACATTTACTGATCCAATGAACTGGCACCCAACCACTATTCTGCACCAGGCCCTGGGCTAGTGCTGGGGACAGAGCAGTGAACAAGGCCAAGCTGCCGCCCTCCTGGGACTCCTGCGCTGGTGGTGGGAGATCTCAGCGGGTAAGCGAAGTGCATCCTATGTCAGGCAGGGATAAAAGCCACAGAGAAGCCCACGATGGGCACCCAAAGGGAAAGCACTACAGCGCAGGGCACCCCCCATCTGGGACATACTTTTCATACCACCTGCGCTGGGAGCAGAGGGGTCTGCAACCTACAGTGAGGAATCCGAGGCTGGGGGAGCTGGCAGCGCCCGCCTGAGGTCACACAGCTGCGGGAGAAGAAGCACCTGGCCGGGTCTGTCCACCCAGTGTCAGGGCCCAGAGGTCAACACCCGCCGGCGCAGAGGGGAGACTGAGGCCCAGAGAGGGCCACGCCTGCTCTGTGGTCCCGCTGCGCACCCGTGTCCTGGAGACACCAAAGCCCAATGAACTCGGATGACCCGTGGCCCCTTCTTGTGGATCGGCTAGAGGGGGTGATGGGTCCTGGGAGAGTCAGTGAACCCTTCGCGGGAGGGTATCCATTGTCACTCAGATGAGACCCATCTACCCGGACTCTCTGACGAGCCAGGTCGTACCCCGCACCTCCACGCGGGGTCCTTCCCCCTCCAAGCCCCGCGACGGCCCGGGGAGGCGCGCGCTGCAGGTCCCGGTCCCCAGAGCGAGGTTCAGCGAGGCCAGCCACCGGTCCCCGGTAGCACGTTCCCCTCGGCACCCCTATCCCGCGGCGGGCGGGTGCGTGCGGAGCGCGGGGCGCGCGGGGACCCGGGCGGCGGGGGGCGCTCCGCGCCGGCCCCGCCCCTCCGCGCCCCGCCCCCCGCGCTGGGGGCGGCCCGGCGGCAGCGCACGCTTCCTGCGGGCGCGGCGGCCGTGGGCGCGGAGCTGCCGGGCGGAGCCGGGCCGCCGAGCCGGAGCCCCGACCGAGAGCGCGCCGGGCCAGCCGCCGGGCCGCGCCGCCGCCGCCGCCGCCTCGGGAACAAAGGCGCCCGCCGCCGCTGCCGCCATGAAGCCGGGGCCGCCGCACCGCGCCGGGGCCGCCCACGGGGCTGGCGCCGGGGCCGGGGCCGCGGCCGGGCCTGGGGCCCGCGGGCTGCTCCTGCCTCCGCTGCTGCTGCTGCTGCTGGCGGGGCGCGCCGCGGGGGTGAGTGCCTCCCGTTCTTGCGCCCCGCGCCGCCCTGCGGGGAGCCGGTGCTTGGCCGCCCTTGCCTCCCGGGGGCTCGTTTTCCCGCGGGCGGGGGGACCCTTCCCCGAGGGCGGCCTGGGGTCCCGGCTGGGGTCCGGGCGCAGGGCCGCGCTGGGCGTGTCTCGGGTCTGAGCGGACGTGGCTTGGTGCTTCGTGGGTGTGCCCGGACCGCGGCCACTTTTAGGGAATGGGGTCGCCTCCCCCTGCGGGGGGAAGGGTGTGCTTTCGGTTCCTCTCTCCGAGGGTCGTTGCAGGAGGGCCGGGGGCGGTGTGTGTGTGGGGGCGGGCGGCCCGGGGAGGAGGAGGGGTGGAGGGTGACTTGTGTGAAGGTGACCTGAGGGGGTGGGTGAGGATGACCGCGTGTGTGGCCACCTCCGTGGAGGGTGCTGGGATCTGTGGGGTGTGCACGCGTGAAGGATGAGGCGTGAGGACGAGCCCGTCCCCGTGGATGGGGCCCCGTGCCCTACCTGCGTGTGGTCGTGTCAGGGTGACCCATTGTGTGTGGTGTGTGCCCGGGCCGGGCTGGGGACCATTGGCCATGCTGAGTGTGCTTGCAGGGGTGACTGTGTTGGGGGGAGACCTCTGTGGTGTGTGTGTGTGTGTGCAAGCGTGTGCAGGCAGGTGTATGGTTGACCCCGTGCATGGAGCACGCACCTCTTGGGGGGGCGCGCGTGTGGGTAGCAGTGAGTATGCATGTATGACCTGACCCTTCAGTGTCTCTTTGACCGCAGCAGGCGGGGGTTGAGCTCAGTCCCAGCTCCATCAGGGGCAGCAGGAAGAAAGGCCACCTCCTCCTTGCGGGACCCAGGTCCCAAGAGAGTTCCCCATGGGCACGTGTCTGGAGCCTGGCCAGGCCATGAAGGGGGGAGACTTCTAGTTCCCTTGGTTGGTTCTAAGAGTTATGCCTGGCTCCCCCATTCCCCAGGGTGAGAGGTACCCAGGCCTATCAGGCAACCCCCCAGGTGCCTACTCTGCCCCTGCAAGTCTCTCTGGGCCTCAGTTGGCCAGTCTGTGAAATGGGAGGAGGTTGGGCAGGGGCATCTTGGACAGACTGCTGTTCCTCAGTCCTCCCCATCTATCTGAGGGCTTTGAGCTGGGTGGGGTGGGGTGGGGAAGTGTTGAATGCCAGGCTGAGTACCGGGGCTGGTGAGCTGGCTGCCTCGTTCCCAGTTCTCCCCTAGATGGGGTGAGGAAAAGAGGTCCCTAGCAGGGACAGAGATCCAACCCATCCTGGCAACTGGGTCTCTTTCTCAGCTACATTTCTGGATGACCATCTTAGGAATCAGAGACTTGGAAATCGCACAGGCGTGGGTTCCAATCCTGCTCTCACCCCTGATTCTAGTGTGATCTTGGACAACTTGTCTCACCTGTCTGAGCTTCCATTTATCCCCTCTGCAGAATGGGGCTGATAACACCCTCCTGAGAGATTAAATGAGAGGCCGTGTGTGCTGGCCCACAGAAGGAGCCCGCTGAATGTTTGATGTCTAGATAAATGAACAGGGGTGCCGACGCCATGCTTTAGACTCGGCAGCCCAGCGGGAACCCTGAACTGGGTGAGCCCTGGGCAGCTCATGTCCCTTGTAGAACTTTTCCTTATTCATAAAACCAGGCTCATGGTTTGTGCGCCACGAGGCGGTGGAAGGAATGAAGTGAGTGCACGTGAAGTGAAAGGTCTCCGTGAGGCAGGTCTGAGGGCCAGGTGGAGTGGGCGTGGCTTCGACCCAGCTCTGGGTGGCAGATAAAGTCAGCCCCCAGGGTTGGGGTCTGGAGGCTCAGATGGGGGGACTGGACATGGAGGAGAGGAGGGGCTGGGCTCCAGATGAGGCAATGGAGGGGACCCATCTTCTCCAGGCTTCACACCTTTCCAGGAGGAGGGACGTCGACTCATCTGACCTGGGAGCCAAAGGGTTAATGGGTGGTGCCCAGGGGCCAGGAGCATGGCACCAGAGGAAGAGGGTGATGCCTGCATCAGGAGGGACTGAAGTTAGATCAGAAGAGCCCCAATCAGGATGGCTTCAGGAGTGGCCTCCATGGTGGGAGCCCCCAAGGGCATCACTGGGATGGGCAGTGGCTGACTCGGGGCAGGGGAAGGACTCAGGAAAGGTGATACCAAGGTGCTCACCAGCTTGAAAGGGAGCTTGTGTGTGTGTGTGTGTGTGTGTGTGTGTGTGTACGTACTTACGGGGCAGCTTCTAGGATGGCCTCAGTAGGGGTAACAGGTCTCATTCATGCTGCACATGGTGAGTTGGGGAGTGTGTGTGTGTCCTGGCATTCTCTCTCTGAGAAAGCAGCTGTCTATGACTCTGAGGGATGTCTGCCTTCAGGGTTGCTTCGGTTGTTGTATTATACTTAAGTCTACTCAGAAAGACCTAGAGTGTGGACATCCTGGAAATTTTAGCTTTAAATTGCGTTCTTTGGATGATCAGGGCTGAAAGGGACTTAGATAATCAGTTAGTCTTGTTTGAATTCCCAGTGGTGGGAGTTCATGGCTTTGTGATCTTGAGAAAGTGATTTAACCTCTCTGCGCTTTCATTTCCACCTGTGGAAGCTGGGAAGGATAGGAGAACAAATGGGGTTAATACGTAAAGCTCTTAGCGTGGTGCCTGGCACATAGTAAACACTCGGGAAATGTTCTCTTCTTGTTCTTTGACAAGGTTGTCATTCTGTGATTGGGAACCTGGTAGGGGTGGGGGGTGGAAGGGTGGGGGACCATGGGAAGAGGAAATCACTCATGGAGTTCTTTTATTTGTTTATTTTTGGCTGCACTGGGTTTTCATTGCTTCATGCAGGCTCTCTCTAGTTAGAGCGAGCAGGGGCTACCCTCGAGTTGTGGTGTGCAGGCTTATTATTGCCATGGCTTCTCTTGTTGTGGAACATAGACTTTGGGGTGCACGGGCTTAGTTGCCTAGCAGCATGTGGGGTCTTCCTGGATCAGGGATGGAACCTGTACCCCCTGCCTTGGCAGGTGGGTTCTTAACCCTGGACCACCAGGGAAGTGCCCAGGGAATTCTTCTGAAGCACCAGCCCTGGTGGTTCCTGCCCACTCCCCACCCCCATGATTTCAAGCATCCAGGAGCTCCCTACTCCCCTCCCCTCCAGCTGCTCCGGTTGGCTGTGAACACTGAGTTGCCAGCACAAGATTGTCCTCACTGTAAAACGTAAATGCTGGGGGACCCCTGGGCAGTTCCAGGCCAGGCCCTGACAACAGGGATACCTTAGGGATCTGTAAGTGTTAGCACCCAAGCTGGCAGGGACTCGGGGACGGAGACTCTGAGTAAGGGATTTCTCCGTTTCAACGTTCTTATCTGTCAAATAGGGACCATAACAGTGGCAGCCTCACAGGGCTGTTGTGAGGAGAAAGTGAGCTCCTTGGCTAGACCCAGCACAGCCTGCCAGTGCACTCCAGAGATGGGACCTTTCTAGGAGGGAGCCTAGGGAGGGCTTCCTGGAGGAGGAGGTTTTAAGCTAAGCCATGTGCCATATGACACTGAGCAAGCTGTCCCCTGCCCTGACCCTCAGCTTTCTCACCTGTCAACTGGGGACCAATACTTGCTGCATGGAATTGCTACTGGGGGGCATGGGGGGGAATCATACCATTCTCATGGCTGAGTTGGGATTGGAACTTGGTGCCTTCTGCTCTCTGGGGAGCAGCACAGTGCCCCCCGCCTGTGAATTTGGTGTGTTTCTTGTTCCCTCTTACTGGGGTTTGGCATGGGGTTGAGCTCTGCTGGAGAAAAAAGCGGTGTGGGCTTTTGAAAACAAATGGTCGTCCCATCCCATGGACTGGGGCATAGGGTCCCGGGAGGCCCCAGGGCAGCGCTGGGGGCAGGGGCAGCTTTGGACTTGAGACCTGGAAAATGCTGGGGCAACGGTGGGGTGGGTGAGAGGGGCATGATGACAGGGAGAGGGTAGAAGCAGAGCTCCCCCACCCCCCAAGCCACAGGTCCTGCTGAGTGCAGACCTCCCGCCTGCCCATCCCATCGGAGCTGGGACCATCCCCAGAGCTGCTGAAGGGGAGGGGAGAGGGACAGGTCCTTCCAGAAGGGGCTGCTGTAGCATTCCTTCAGGCTGGAGCAGACGGAGGCAGCTGGGGATGGAAGGTGGTGAGCTGAACAGGGGCCAAGGCCCTGATTTGGGTGGCAGCATCCACAGCTCGGAGGGCTTAATAATACAAAGAGCAGCTAATGCTCACTGGGAGCCCTGCCCATTGAGCACTTGATATGTATTGGCTCATTTAATCCTCATGATAATCTTTGGAGGTAGGAGTTGTTAGAACCCCCATTTTACGGATGAGGAAAACTGAGGCATAGAGAGGTTAAGCAGCTTGCTCAATGTCACACAGTTGGAAAGTGACAGAACTGGATTGAGCCAGGGCCTGGCAGACTTATAGAACTGGGCTGCAGTCCTAATTTCAATCTCTCTTGCCATGTGATCCTGGGCGAGGTACTTACTTCTCCTTTTGGCTGTCCCTACTCCCAAATTTTGCCTACATTACCTGTTTCATGAATGCCTGCTCCTTGCCAGGCTCTGGGCCAGGCATGTCCCCTATCTTTTTTCTTTTAATTCTCACTGTCGCCTTGGCGGCGGGGTGATGCTACACATGTGGTAGGTCGGGGAAGGGTCTGGCTCTGGAGCCCTTGCTCCCACACCGCCTCTCAAGGCTCCGTGATCTGTAAGTGAGCTCTTCTGAGGGTCTTGGGGGATGAATCAAGGGAGAGTTTTATAAACTGCACGACAGTCAACAAGATGGGGGCGTTGGTGGTGGGGGGATTGTGTCTGGATCATGTGACCATGGCCCAGGAGAGAGGAATGTTTAGAACCTCAGGATGAGAAGGGTCTAAAAAGTTAGCATGTCCCCTGGACACCCACTGGACGCTCCCAGTGTTGGGGCTGATTCTCTGCACAGATGACCAGGCCTGCCTTTAATCCCCTCTGACTCTTAGAAAGTTGTGTGGAGT